AATGTGGATAGCACCATGTATGAATGGTGAAGGTACACACTTTTCACTGTACTTTTACATTGAATACATGTGACAATAAATGATTAATTCAATAATTCTACCTCATTACTCGATCAAAAATATCATGTCCCCAGATAGGTTGTGCAACATACTGCTCTGAGAAAAAGATCCTTGATACACTCTAAATATTTGTCTTCCATTTTATCCTTGCCTACCTGATTTGTCCACTCAATATTCAGATTAAAATCATTCATGGTAATTATAGTGCTCTTCTTACACACCTCCATTATTTCCTGATGTATACTTTCTCTTAAAGTGAGACAACTCTTTGAGTCCCCTAGATGACTTCCATCCTTGACCTCCCCTTGCTATTACTTATTCTCACCCAAACCAATTCCACATCATGATTAATGGCAGCTATATCACTACTCACCACTGCACTAATGTTCTCCTTTATTAACAATGCTACCCCATCTCGTTGTCATTTTGGCCTATTTCTGTGTAAGATCAAATACACTTGAATGTTGAACTCCCAATCCTGGTCACTCTGAAAACATATCGGTGTATTTATTGTCAAGTCACATTCATTTTGGAGTCATACCTGACACATAGGAAGATGGTCGTGGTTGTGAGAGGTCAATCATCTTAGCTCCAGGACATCTCTGCAGGAGTTCCTCAGTGTAGTGTCCTAGGCCCAACCATCTTCAGCTTCTACATCAATGATCTTCCCTCCATCATAAGGTCAGAAGTGGGAATGTTCGCCGATGATTGCATAATGTTCAGCACCATTCGTGACTCCTCAGGTACTGAAGCAGTTCATGTTCACATGCAACAAGATCTGGACAATATCCAGGCTTGGGCTGACAAGTGGCAAGTGACATTGGCGCCACACAAATGCCAGGCTATGACCATCACCAATAAGAGACAATCTAACCACCAACCCTTGACATTCAATGGTGTTACCATCACTGAATCCCGCATTATCAGCATCCTGGGTGTTACCATTGACCAGAAACTCAACTGGACTCACCACATTAACAGAGTGCCTACAAGAGCAGGCCAGAAGCTGGAAATACTGCGGCGAGTAACTCACCTCCTGACTCCTCAAAGCCTGTCCACCATCCACAAGGCACAAGTCAGGAGTGCGATGGAATACTCCCCACTTGCCTGGATTAGTGCAGCCCCAACAACACTCAAGAAGCTTGACACCATCCAGGACAAAGTAGCCCGCTTGATTGGCATTACATCTACAAGCATTCACTTCCTCCACCACCGATGCTCAGTTGCAGCAGTGTGTACTATCTACAAGATGCACTGCAGAAATTCACCAAAGATCCTCAGACAGCGCCTTCCAAACCCACGACCACTTCCATCTAGAAGGACAAGGGCAGCAGATATATGGGAACACCACCACCTCCAAGTTCCTTTCCAAGTCACTCACCATTCTGAGTTGGAAACGTATTGCCATTCCTTCACTGTGGCTGGGTCAAAATCCTGGAATTCCCTCCCTAATAGTATTGTGGGTCAACCCACAGCAAGAGGAATGCAGCGGTTCAAGAAGGCAGCTCACCACCACCTTCTCAAGGGCAACTAGGGATGGGCAAGAAATGCTGGCCAGCCAGCAATGCCCACATCCCACAAAATTAATAGAGAAAAAAACATTATTTCTATTTGTGTCTTCAACTAATCTTACTTTTTATCAATATGTCATGATTCAGATAAAAAAGCCTTAAGCTTTGACATTCTACCAGTTTTATTTACTCTTGTTCCAATTTCTGCTGCAATCCTTTGCATATAGTGCAGAAAGAGGCCATTTGGCCCATTGAATCCATGGCAAAGAGGATCCCACCCAGACCCAGCCCCCCACTCTATCCCTGTAACCCGGCATTTTCAATTTTCCATGGTTCACCCGCCTGGTCTACACAGGACACAATGGGCAATTTACCATGGCCAGTCCACCTAACCTGCACGTCTTTGGACTGTGGGAGGAAATGGGAGAAACTGGAGGAAATCCATGCAGACACAGCAAGAATGTGCAGTCCACACAGACAGTCACCCTCACTCTGTACTATGGTGCTTCAGTTAGTTCCCTCGTCCTATGCCCTCATCCACCACAGAAGCAAGTACTTCATACCTACTGGACATTCAATGGTATGCCCTCCTATGAGCCAACTTTTGAAGTAATTAATCTAAGGGGAATGACTATCTCCTGAAACACTGTGTCCAGGTACCTTGCCCAATCTCTGATTAGTTACAGTATCCACAACTCAGACTCCATAACTCTAGCCGAAGTTCCTTGAGTAATCCACACATGTGGCCAACATGGATTTTACCAGCGTTTGTTAATTCCTATATACTACAGCTGCAACACATTATCTACCAAGTAATCTCTATTCTATTCATTAATTTTGGTGTTAACATTTTAAAAGTGAATTTCCTAATGTTACTATACATATGTAATACTGTCTCCTGATTTAAACCACTTAGCCAATCAAATAAGATGAGGAAGAAAGACCTACCATTCATCGACCTGTTTTCCCTTGAAGTCACACTTTGGCTTTAGGATGGATAGAAGTAGGTTGAAGGAGCTCTCAACCACCGTTTTTCATCCCCCCCTCCCCCCACGCCAGCCGCTGCACTTCTGATGTAGATCTGCTTTACAGTGATGCTGAGTTGCTGCACACTCCTCTCAATTTGCTTCAGACAAGTTGCTGCATACTCCTCCCAGTCTCCTTCACAGGGATGCTGACTTGCTGTACATTGCTGCTAGCCCATAATGAAGCAGACTGGGAGAAATGTGCAGCAAGTCAGCTTCACAGTGAGGTGGACTGGGACAGTGGACTCATGTTAGAAAGTCATGTGACCTGTTGTGCAGTCTGCTTGACAGTAAGCTGGAACTTGTTTATTGAAGTTCAAAGGAAAGTGTTGATTGTCTTACTGAGAATAGCACACAAGATATTTAAGACTCGAGTCGATGGCACCAGATTCTCATTTTACTATGAATAGGCTTTGAGTCTCTCAAAGTCCCACGGCAGTACTGCTAGTATTAAGTTTTAAACTGGTTTGCTGTATCCACATCTAAAATGAGAAAAGATTGGTATCAAAGATAGCTGATTAGTAATTCTGCCTTGATGCAAGGCTAATAAATTACATGTTGACATGGGGAAGAGTGCAGGCAAAGCCATTTTTTGAATCAGGTTACAGGCTTCCCTATTATAAAAGAAGAATCTAGGTATATCAATTAGTACAAGCATCAATAGTTTGTTTGATGTGGCCTGCAGCCACCTGAAAGACAAAAAGGAGAGAAAATGCTGACTTTATCGTCCAGCACATAGAACACAGATTAGAGTTTATGCTTAGAACAAAAACACCAAATTCCTGAGGAATTTAAGGCTGGAAAATGTGCCTGGCTGGAGTAGAGGTAAGGGATCTCCAGTGTAAGCTTCACAATGAAGGCCAGTTCTGGGTACAGAAGTTACCCAGTTGGGCAAATGAAAGGAAAGCAGCCATTGATTTGATTTATTGTTGTCACATGTACCTAAGTACAGTGAAAAGTTTTGTTTTGCGAGCAGTACAGGCAGATCATAACAAACAAGGGCATACAGATTGTAGGGTGCCTAGATAGAGCGAGGCATACAAAGTTATGGCTGCACAGGAGCTGGCAAAGCAAGATCAACATTATTTGAGGTTAGAGGGGTCTAATAACAGCAGGGAAGGAGCTGTTCTTGATCCTGTTGGTGTGTGTTGAAGCTTCTGTAGCTTCTGTCTGATGGAAGAGGTTGGAAGAGAGCATTACTGGGGTAATCGTCACAAATTGGAACTTGACGTTGTCCACCCTCTCAACCTCAGCTCCACTGATGTAGATGGGGACATGTCGTCCTTCTCCTTTCTTCCTGAAGTCATTGATTAGTTCTTTTGTTTTGCCAAAATTGAGAGAGAGATTGTCACTGATAACAATTTTAGGCACCTGGAGGATAGAGTTCCCACCTAATGGACAATGTAACATAATTTTCAATTTTACTAAAAGTTAAAGAAGAATCTCTTCTGTATAGTTTCATGTATAAATTCTGTGTGTAAAGAAAACCATGCTTACACAATAAAGCTTTATAATAATTTTGTTACAGAAATGTTTCAACACATAAAATCATTCTTCCAGCTAATAACTGGAAGTTTGAATTCTTTTTTTGAAAAAATTCAGTCTCTGCAGAGATTGTAACACCGCAATATCAAAAATTACTTGATTCAGGAAATTATAACCAGAGTTCCACTGCTAGGCTAAGAGAAAGGGCATGGAACGGAGTCACTGACACAGTTATGACTGGGTAACGAGGGATGGAGTGTCTTTTCCTCTTGTTTGATTATAGTAGCTGTACTAAAATTTGAAAGATGAATTTACGAATTTACCAATCCATTGTATGTATTCAACTGTTTATGTGCTGGTTGTACTGGATTATCCAACCAGATTTTCTTGAGTTTTTAACATGGTTCTGGAACATTTAAAAGTTAATATAACTCCCAAAACGGAACAGATGCATTTGAAATACCCTCGCATAGTTGCAGATTTTAAAAGAGGTAAAATTGGCTAAATGCTAAGTCATAAAAAATAGTTTTAAGAATCAGCTGGTGTCTTGTTCCAGCTGTAGTTTGTTCAGGACATGTGGATTTTGCTGGCAGCATTTATTGCCCATCTCTGCTGGACCTGGAGGAGATTGTGGTGAGATGCTTTCTTGAACCACTGCAGTCCACTTAGTGTAGGTACACCCACAGCAATATATTTCCAAATCAGGCTAGTGAGTGGCTTGGAGAGGAATTGGTAGTTAGTGGTGTTTCCATGTATCTCCTGCCCTTGTCCTTCTAGATGGTAGTGTTCGTGGGTTTTGGGATGCTTTTTAAGGAACCTTTGTGAATTTCTTGATGCTGATATTTTTTATCATTCTCAATGGTATTATTGTTGGGACATGTTTCTTATTTTATAACGATAAATGTTCTTTATGTTGCAGGTACTTTAGTGAATGGTCTGGTGAACATCGTCATAACTACAATTGAGAAACGATATGACTTGAACAGTTTCACCACAGGACTGATTTCTACAGGCTACGATATGTCCTTCTGTGTTTTATGCCTTTTTGTCTCTTACTATGGACAAAAGGGGCACAAGCCACGATGGCTGGCTTTCTCGTCTTTTATGCTGGGATTGGGATCCCTTGTGTTTTGTCTTCCTCATTTCACCGGTGACCTGTATAATTATGGTGCACAAATACGAGGTACGTTTGTTTATACGGTACTGTGTTATTTACTATTTGTTGAATACAGCTTTATGGTATTTTCAAAAAGATAATGTGACCTGATGTTATTTTGGATCTAAGAGGAAAAAAGGGAAATCTTCTAACTTGTGCGATTTGACTTTAGAATATTATGCCAATTACCCTAATCATTACATCCTTAATGATTCAGTGGATGAACATATCACATGCTGTGGTACTGAACTGTACAAATCAAGGGCTTCTGGATTTGATCCTGGGCAAATATTGGCCAAAACTTGTAAAGAATAAACCAGACAACTTCTGCTGACTTTCAATGTGCGATTAAATGCTGAATACACAATATCTGAGTTCCCATTGCTCTCCAGGAGCTTTGCTCACAGAATCTCATTGTAAAACTCAGCTTTGAATGCATGAAAGGGTGTGAAATCGGTGTACTTATCCAGTAATTAACTACTAAAATCACCATTTAGGTGTATGTGAAATTTTAGGGCATGATAAGTCTTAATTTTAGCCAAGCAACCACTCTGGCACTGAAAATTAACTTTTATAAGTGCATTCATTCCTTCAGCCTTTAACTATTGCTGGAGATTATTAAAATTTTATTTTTAATCTTTTTCTCTGTCTCATCAATCCATCATTATTAATCATGTATTTTCTTCCCCTTTTTCACTTTCTGTGAATGACTTGGCATTGATTAGCTGTTCTGATTTCTTGGTTCAGACCGCATAACTCAGTCAGAATTTTTTAATTGAATGAAATAAATACCCAATTATTTATCCTGGTTACACAATAGCAGAAGCTGTAGAGAAAACATTGAAATTGATTTTGTGTCGTAACAAGTTCCTGTGCAAAGTAGTATAGGACATCTATTGGCAAGTGTGATTTACTGAACAGCAAGTACAGTTCATTGACAATTCACTGAAAAATGTAATCATTTGACTAAAAGATGTAGGAGCAGAAGTAGACCATTCAGCTAATCAAATCTGCTCTGCATTCAATGATATCGTGGCTGATCTGATAATCCTCAACACACTTTCTTGCCTTTTTCCTACAACCATTGATTCGCTTACTGATGAAAAGTATGCCTATCTCAGCCTTGAATATACTTAATGACCCAGCCTTGACAGCCCTCTGCAGTAAATAATTTCACAGACTCACTACCATTCAAGGGAAAAAAAATTGCTCCTCATCTGTCTTAAATATTGTTGTAAGTAAACTGACCATAAGTTACCTTTAATTCAGCCACTCATTAAGAAATCTCACAGACAATCAACTACTAAAACAATGACTTAAATTTTATTGCATGCAGCAACCAAAATTAGACCCTCAAGTAAACAAGTTAAGCCTCAACCTAATTTGGCTTTTACCCATTGAATGGTGGAATCTGGCCAAGATTCCAACCAATGGTGGTCTGTATCTGGGAGTATCCAGGGTTCAATCCTTCTACAGTGTTGTTCTTCAATGTTCTCCTAGGGATGGAGTTCTGGTGTTTGATTCTTATACAGATTTTCGTCCTTCAGGTTATTATTAATGATTCTTATAAAGTCCTTCAGCCAAGTTACTGCCAGTCAGCAGCTTGCCTTCATACCAGAAGAACCTTTTTTGTTCTTTGTTCCATTTGGCCTTAACTGTCTGTTTGAAGACACAGCTGTCCTGTAGTTAACAACTTAAATTCTTCTGCAGGGCAATCCTTGTCCTTTATAGCAGTAAAGCATCCAGTTTATTGAACAGGGGTCAGAGCATTTTTGCCTTTGCAATCTTGACTCCCTCCTTTCCAAGGCATGGCTAATTGCTTTTATTCCTGTATAGGTTTGTCCTTGTCATAGAATCATGCAATCCCTACAGCAGGCCATTCAGCCCATCAAGTCCATACAGACCATCTGAAGAGCATCCCACCCAGACCTGCCTGCCTACCCTGTCCCTGTATCCCTGCATTTCCTGTGGCAAGTCCACCTAGCCTGCACATCCCTGGATACTATGAGCAATTTAGTATGGCCAATCCACCTAGCCAGCACATCTTTGGGCTGTAGGAGGAACCCGGATCACCCAGAGGAAACCCACGCAGACATGGGAAGAATATACAAACTCAGTACTAACCACTGAGCCACCGTGCCACCTTTAATAGTTTATTCCAGACAGAGTCATTACTGATTCCTTCTCTGCATTGATTTTTACAATCGCTGAGCAGTTCTGAAGTTTTTAACTTCACAATATGCAACATTGTATTCTGAGATTATGTCCTCTGGTCCTCGACTCTGTCACAAGGGGAAGCAATCTCTCTGTATCTACCCTGCCAAAGTCCTAAGAATCTTGTATGTTTCAGTAAAGTCACCCGTAATTCTTCAAAAATCCAATGGGTACATGCCTAACCTACTCAACCTCTCCTCATAACACAATAACTCCATACCCATGATCAAATTAGTGAACCTTCTCTGGACTGTCTCCAATGCCATTATGTGTTTCCTTAGAAAATATGAAATGTGAAGTTGTCCATTTTGGAAAGGAGAAAGAAAGAATAACGTTTTATGCAAATTCAGAAAAACTGCAGAAAGCTACAACACAAGACGACTTGAGGGTACTTGTGTGCAAAACACGGAAAGCTAGCACATAGGTGCAGCAGGTAGCTAGGAAGGCTAATGGAATATTGGCTTATTTAAGGGTTGGAGTATAAGGGTCTGGAAATCTTACTGCAACTGTACAAGCTGATGGTGAAACCACAGCTGGAGTACTGAGAGTAGTTTTAGTCCTCTTATTTAAGGAAAGATATTGTTTAATTGAAGGAAGTTCAGAGAAGATTCACCAGGATGATCTCTGGTGTAAAGGGATTGTCTTATAAGCAAAAACTGAATAGGTTGGGACTCTACTCACTTTCCTCACCCAAGTCTTTAATACATATTGTAAATAATTGTAGTCCCAGCACTGATCCCTGTGACACTCCAATAGTTACAGATTGCCATTCTGAAAATTCTTTATCCCATCTTTATTCCAACTACCTGCTTTCTATTAGTTAGCCAATCCTCTATGTATGCTAGTATATTACATCCAATACCATGGGCTGTTATCTTATTAAGTAGCCTAATATGTGGTACTATATCAATCAACTTCTGAAAATTCAAATATCTGTTGCCTCTACTTTATCTATCATTTTTTTTACCTCCTCAAAGAATCATGATAAATTTATCGGCATGATTTCTCCTTCATGAAGCTATGATGATTCTTTTTGATCATATTACACATTTCTAAATGCTGTGCCATTATTTCCTTTATAATGGATTCCAGCATTTTCTCAATAACAGATGGTAAGTAAACTGGTTTATCGTTTACTTGCCTCCTTCCCATTTTAAATAATGGTGTTACATTCTGGGATTTTTCCAGAATCTAATGATTCTTGGAGGAATATTATCTGTTCTTCCACTACATCCGCAGCTACTTCTTCTAATATCCTAACATGCATCCCATCGTGTCCAGAGGAAGTATTGGTTTTAAGCCCCATTAGTTTCCTCACAAGTTTTCTCCAGTGATAGTTATTATACCCATTTCCTCTCCTCCCTATGTTCCTTGATTATTTAGTGCTTTTGGTATACGATTAGCATCTTCTACTGTGAAGACTGATGCAAAGTATATATTTAGCTCCTCTTCCATTTCCTGGTTTCCTATTACTTTTTCCACACCTCATTCTCTAAGAAGACTATGTTCACTTTGGCCTGTCTCTTTTTTATATACTTAAACAAACTCATCTTGATATTACTTGTAAGTTTACGCTCAAAGTTTGTCTTCTCCCTCTTCATCTTTTTTTGGTCTTTTATTGGTTTTAAAACTTTCTCAGTCCTCTGTTTTGCTGCTAATCTTGGCCACAATGTATGTTTTATTCTTTCACTTTGATGTTATCCTAACTTATCTGGTTAACCATGGTTTCTTTATCCCTCTCCTAGAATCCTCCTTTCTCATTGGAGTATATACCTTGTTCTGAGTCATGAACTATTTTCTTAAATGTCTCTTATTGTACATCAACTGTCTTTGCAGCTAAACTCCTTTCCTAGTCCACTACGGCTAGCTCTGTCCACAGTCCTTTGTAATTACCCTTATTTAAGTTTGGCACAGTTTCTGACCAAGTTTCTCTTTCAAACTGAATGCTAAAATCTAGCATGTTATGGTCACTATTTCTGAGGACACCTTTTACTCTGACATCATGTACTATTATCTCCCATTCATCTTTTGAGCTGGAAGTAAATCTTAGTTAAACCACTCCTTTGCACTGAATTCCCACTTTAAACCAAATTTCCAGCACTTCGCTCATGGAGCCTTTGTGTCACTCAGGCAAAGTCTCTACTCATGTTGACCATGCTCCTTGCTGACTGTATGGTGCAGAAATCCCTTTGTTAATACAGATTTGCTTTGAGTCATTTCTTAGTTACAGTGATCAACATCTCATTTAGACAAAGGAATTTGCATGCTTGAATTCTATTGCTACAATCAGACAGCTGTCTCTTTTAATGCTATTGAACTTACTTAAAGGCTATTGTCAGAATCTGACTTTAACTCTAAAATGAAGTTGGAAAGGATATACCAGTTGAATTCACGCTTTGAAGCGGGTTTCTAGCAGTATACTCACTCAACCTTTGTCCCGCACTGTTGAAGTCTCCATGCTTCTTACTAACCGATTAGGTAATTGATTTAAAAACATCTCAGTTGGAATAATGTTAACATTGGTATAATTGGCATCAACATCAATGAGCTTTTGAAGCAGAAAATCACATAGCATTCCTTCTCCCACTCATTTTGTTGTATTTGAAAGACTCCGTGCATACTCTCGTACAAAAGATGGAGTGAATTAGTGGCTACCTCGTCAAACCCATAGAACGTGATGCCAGAATAAGTCAATGCCTTCATAAGAGCTGAAAGAATTGTGGATGGTGTAAATCAGAAAAAGCTCAACAGGACTGGCAGCATCTTTGAAGAGAAATCAGAACTTGTTCTGAGGAAGGCTCACCGGACCTGAA